AAAGAAAGAAAGAAAGAAAGAAAGAAAGAAAGAAAGAAAGAAAGAAAGAAAGAAAGAAAGAAAGAAAGAAAGAAAGAAAGAAAGCAGGTTGAGCAAGCCATAGGGAACAAGCCAGTAAGCAGCACCCTCCATGGCCTCTGTATCAGCTCCAGCTTCCAGATCCTGCCCTGTTTGAGTTCCTGTCCTAACTTCCCTCAGTGATGAACTGCAAGTGTAAGTTGAATAAACCCTTTCCTCCCCAACTTGCCCTTCAGTCATGGTGTTTCACCACAACAACAGAAACCCTAAGACACTAGGGTTTATAATTTGTTAAGATAAAAGTCAGTGGTGTTTTTTTTTTTTTCAGCATATTCACAGTTGTAAAACCATCCCAATCTAAAGTTCTACACTTGTATATCACCACCCTTCACAAAAAGCTTAACAATTAATGGTCGTGTATGCTTACTGTCCACCCTCTTCTCTCAGCCCCAAACTCGCTCTTCACGTGTGTAGTGTACACACAAGTGCACATCTGTGGGTAGAAGCCACGGTTAAGATCACGCGTCCTCTTCAGTCACTCCCCACTGAAGACAGGGTCTCTCACTGAACCTGGAGCCACAATCTGACAAGACAGACTGGCTAGCATGTAAAGGGTACAGCTGTTCTCTCCTTCCACCTCCACAAGGGTTCCGAAGACAGAACCAGGTCCTCAGTCTTGTGCTGCAAGCACCTGTTCTCAACAAGCCCTCTCACTGGTCCCTGGACTACAGTTTTGCATGTGTAAGTCCTGCAATGTTTTCAGTAAGTGTTCCTAGGTATTTTACCTTTTTGTTGATGCTGGAAATGGAATTTCTTATTTTCGGATAAGACTACATAAAACTATAATATACTGATACACTGATTTTATATCCTGCACATGTTGTTTAGATATTCTGTAGTTTTTAGGACTTCCTGTTACCTGACATATACAGCCTCTAACTTGGATACCTCACCTAGAGCCTCAAGTACAAGGCTGGCTACCATGGCAAGAGGGAGGGAGTATTCCTGTCTTACAACCTTAAAGGGAAAGCTTTCTGTCTTCAGCCTGAAGCATGTCAACTGTGAGTTTTCATGGATGCTCTGACCAAACTGAGGATGCTTCCTTCTACATTTAATTTGGTTAAGTGCTCTTTTGTTTTTGCTTTTTAAATCATGAAAGGGCTTGAACTTTTTCAAATATCTTTCTGTATCCACCAAGAGGACAATGTGCTTTCCATTCTGCACTTTATTAACACAATATATTACACTGACTGATTTTCATATAGTCAACTACCTTTGCAGTCTTAAGAGAAATTCCACTTATGCTGGCTTTTCCTCTTATTTTTCTAAACTAGGTTTACTGGGACTTTGTTGAGCATTTTATCATCTATTTTCAGAAAATATTAGTCTGTAGTTTTAAGATCTATCTGGTCTTGGGCTGGAGAGATGAATTAGTGGTTAAGAGCATTGACTGTTCTTCCAGAGGACCCAGGTTGGGTTCCCAGCACTCACATGGTAGCTCACAACCATCTGTACCTCCAGTTCCAGATGATCCAATGTCCTCTTCTAGATTCTGTGGGCACCACGCACACATGTGATGCACAGATATACATGCATGCAATCCACTCGTATACATAAAATAAAATTTTAAAAAGACGTATCTGTCTAGTTTGGGTTCAAAACAATAGTAGCCTCACGGAACAAGGCTACTATGTTCAGCAGTGAAATTATTGGAATATGTACTGTCTGTCTTTCTAGCTCTGGGTTACCTCACTCAGTATGATATTGTCCAGTTCCATCCCTTTCATGCAAATTTTATGATTGTATTTTTTGTTAGAGCTGAATGGTATTCCATTGTATATATGTACCACATTTTTATGATTCAGTCATGAGCTGAAAGACATGTAGATTGTTTCCATTTCTTGGCTATTGTGAATGGAGCAGCAACGACCATAGCTGAGCAAGTATCTGTGGAACAGGATGCCAAGGAGTGGTACAGCTAAGTCATACGATGGATCTACTTTTAATGTTGTGAACACTCTCCACACAGATTTCCAGAGTGGCTGCACCAATCTGCACCAACAGTCCCATCAGCAGTGATGAGGGTTCCACCTCCCCATACATGCTCTAGCATGTGTTGCCAGTTGTTTTCTTGATCTTAGCCATTCTGACTGGGGTGAGATGAATCTCAAAAGCAGTGAAAGAAATACATGCGGGAGTGAAGAATGAGGAAAGAGAGTAAATAACACTAAGGATGTTTGAAAAGGCCATAGGGAAATGCAGTCTTTTATAAGGTTACTAAAAAGACATGTTTGTGTGTTTATGCTTGTTTCTATGTATATATAGTCTAAATGGAGTTATACACATGGGTGACAATGCTCCCTGCAAGGGCCATAAACTAACCAAAACTCCAGTTCCAAGCATAGGAAACTTCTGTTCACATTGTTGTCAGGGGGTTCCAAGAGACACCCCAAATAATATAGGTTATTGCCATCATCCTTGATTGCCTCTAACAACTTGAAAGTAAGAAAGATCCTCTGGCCATAGACACCACATACTACAGACACAGGACTTGGAAGAATTGAGCTAGACATGACTTGGAAGCCTCCTACCCTGATGACTACCTCTCCCAACTATTGGAAGGTGCTATGTAAGCTGACAAGGGAGAAAAATCAATCAGTGTCCTAACTAGGTGTAGAGCCAAAACTCCACAACAAAGACAGCCCAGTACGACCTCCCTAATGGTACAACAGTGGCACTTTTACTCCGACTGTAACCAATAGCTGTCTAATCGGACTTAAGGCAGACTCAATAGGAGGAAGTACATGCCTAGTACTGTAAACCTAGCCTAATAGCTGGGCTGAAGAGGTCTAGACTCTAGAGGAGAACCTACTACCGACATTTTCCTAAACTAATCCAATTTCTAACTATATTCTAAATACTTATCCTTGTGCCCATACATGTGTAGCTCTTTGTGCAGTAGAGACCATCACAGAGATCCAAAACCAATGGCAGATGAGCAACTACAAGAGAACCCACATGGCCTGCAAAAGCTAACACAGTTTTCATACAGCCCTTTAGAGAAAAGGTTTTCTGACACCTGATATACTGAGAAATGGCCCTTCCACCACTAATATTTCTAAAACTGAATGCGAGCATAACTGAAGTACACACATCTGCCCTAACTCCCCTCTCCTACTATTTACTCTTATAATGAGCCAACTCTCTCAAGAGCAACAAGGTCTGCACCTCTCAGAAGAAGCAAGTGAGACTCTAATTCCCTACCTAACCTGACAGACGTAAGGGGCAAGCCACTGATGTGACTGGGGATCACCATCTGACTAGAGAGAATCATTAACACTTGTACTGAAAACCACGATTTCCTCCGTACCTCCCCAGTCAGCAGCAATAGCCCTGTTTGAAAGGGAATTCCATCTTCTCATCTAGGCACGAAAACATTTAGTGCTCTTTGCTCACCTTTTCCAGTTCCTTCTGTGGCACACAGGTGTTGCTCTGATCTTCCACTTTATCTTCCTCATCAAACAAACTGAGGACAGTTTTGGTTCTACCCTTGGTTCCTCTGTCCAATGGAGATGAAGAAGAAAATAAATCAGGCCCGACTGCTTCCTGGTCAGATGTAGTAAAAAGTGCTTCCTACAAACAGAAATAAGAAAAAATTAATTGCTAGAAATTAAAATCCTATCATGGCCTTCATAAGCTTGCCATTAATTCATTAACTGCCACATTAACATGACTCAGTGCAACACAGCTTATAACATATACTACCATGTGACCAAGAGGCTAGAACAGACAATTCACAGTTAAAGATGATTTTTCCAAATCATGTTAAGCCAGAGGCTCCTTTTCCTCTTACGAAGTGAAAGGGTAGTTATAACTTGATGTACACAAGTTGCTTATTTACTAGAAAGAATTTCTAAATTATAATGTCAATAGATGTCAATCATAAGGAATGGATCTTAATTCCTAGTTTTAATATGTAAGTCCTAGAGGGAAACTTAACCAGCAAAATCACACGCTCAAATTGTAGCCTTACAATGTTCATCTACATAGAACAATTTCTAACATGACACTAAAAGTGCAACATTAACCCAACAGTATCACAACTCAGGCAAGATACTACTGGTCAAAACAAGAAAGAAAGATAATTTCCAACTAAACACATTATTGACTGTAGAGTGTATTCCAACTTTCAAAGTGGAAAAGCATGTTTCATTAGAGAAGTGATACTATATAAAGTAATTCCTACTTTGTGAAAGACAATATGCTAAGTGCTGATGAATAAAAAACCAAGCAAGCGAACAAACCTAATCCTCAGGGAGTTTACACTTAGCTGAGGGACAGGGCAGCAAAACAGTTTGAGTCAAGGATAGAATGGGCTGTGACAGGGTAATTCAGGTTCATATACAGCCACTAGGAGGGGAAGAGTAGAGTGACTCAGTTACACATGAGTGTCACTGTAGCCATCGGGAGCCTCTGTGGGAAAAGTAAATGAAATGTTCTTCACACAGGCCTTGGGAGGAACTAAACCTGAGCAGCTGGACCTACAGAGTACAGAGAATTAGTAAAACATGGGACACGCCATAGACAGGAAGCAACTACTGACATGAATCCCCAGTCACAGCCAGCAGCCCGAGCTGAAGGCCTCCAAAAGAGACAACGAACCCTCAGAACAGAATGTTAATGTTAGAGGAAAAACCATTTCACGTGGCTCTGATCTCATCAACATCAACCAGAAGTAAAAGCATGGCAACCTAGCTTCATGGAAGGACAGCTGAGCTCAGAAGTGAGGACTATGAGCCAAGGAAACCAGGCACATCAGAGGAAAGCAAACAGAGAAAATGCACAGGATAAATCAGCATGAAAAACGAGATAAGGAAAAGCATCTGCAGAGAGGCAACAGGCAGTTATCCAACATGACACTAATGTAAAAGATTTTCTTTTCACTGTGCCCAGAAATTCAGCTATCAAGGAACCTGATCGAGGAGTCCCCGGACAGCAAGAACACAGGCTATTTTCTTACCACCCTGAGTGTTTTCTAGTCTTCCTACAAATACCCTTTTTATGCAAAAGCACTTTCAGTGTTGGAAAATGTAGGAGAGTGTACATGTTACAAATGGATCGGAAAAGCAAAAATACAGCTTACCTTCTTTACCACATTAGCTACATCAGCATTCCCCACCTCTGGGGACACTTTGGTGTTATCAACCTTCACATCCACAGATTTTACACCGGATGGTACCTCATTCTCCTCCTCATCACTGAACAATGATGGCACCTCAGAGATGCTCTCTTTTTTCTACCAAGAGAAGAGAAAATGGCATCCACAATGATTAAAAAAATGCCTGAATAGAATGGCGATGTATAAAGCCAGCCAAAAGCAGTCCATTCATGAGCTAACTATGATGCAGGGAGGGCAGATAGGACAGTAACTGTGGCCTCAATATGGAAGACATAACAGATAGGATTCCTTCAGACTTGGGATCCCAGCACTTGAGACTTGGTGACTGTCACCAGGACAATGACTAGGCGCTCTCCTCTTACACGTCTCCTGTATGACACCACTCCAAATCTGTGCTCCTTGCAATGAGCCACAGCAACCAGCCAACCCGTCATGCCCTTCTCCTTGTCTGCAGCTCCTCTTGGCTTGCCAATCCTTAATGTAATGCCAACTCTCACACTGCCACACCCTGGGTTCCTCCTCTGTCTGAAGACTATCTTCATGTTTACAGAAAGTCCCAGATGTAAATGTCACCCAAGGTTTCTCTGTTCTCTTCAGTATCAGTTGCTTGTCTGAATAAACATAATATTTCACTCTTTCCCTGGTCCTTACTTTACCTTATTCCTTATCTACCTGTCCACGTTTCTGAAAGTACCATACACTAAATGACCAGGCACAGCAATTTACACAAAGTAGTTACTCAAGTTTGCAAGACCTTCAGCTCAGTTCATCAATTCATTCTTTGGAAGGCAGGGAGTTGAAAGAGTAGGAAACTGAGGTTATGGGACCAAGCTGGAGTTACCCACAGCCTACAAGCTATGAGGAAGCAATGACTAAGCAAGGTAGGAAGGCTGATGTGGGAAACTATGGAAGGACAATACTAACATAATTGAAAATATTACAAACAAAAATTGGGGTAAGAGAATTTTTAGTTATCATCAGGAGGAGAACCTTAAAATGAAAAATGATTTCAACTTGAAATCAAAAAAGACGGACGTTCACAAAGAATGCAGAAGACAACAGGCAATACTTAAGTGACTAAAGGAAAAAAAGTAGAACACAGTAGATGGTTACAGTTTAAAGATGAAGTGCCCCCAAAGGCCCACGCATGGAGAGCTTGGTCCCAGCTAGTAGCGCTGTTTGAAGAAGTTCTAGCAACTTTAGGACATAGGACATTGCTGGAGGAAGGTCACAGAGGATGTGTCCTTGGGAGCTAAGTCTTGCCTTCCTCTATCCTGTCCTCCTGTGTCCTATCCACCATGAATTGAGTAGCCTCAGTTACCATGATGTTCTACCTTGACACAGGTCCAGAAGCAACGGAACCAAGGACTGAGAACTGACCCTCTGAATCATGAGCCAAAATGAGCCTTTCCTCCTTTATGGTAACTGTTGTCACAGCAGCTCCAAGGGCGGGGTTCAGATCTGACAAGGTGGCATCTCTACTCAAGGAGCACAAGCTTACAGGTATTTTCTGGGTCTAGGAAAACTAGTACCATTGTTGCAGGAGGAACAGATGCAGGAGAAAAGCCAAACAGAGAGCTTCCACTATCAGCATCATCTTCAAAGAGGAGTGACGTTCTCTGAGTCTTCTTTTGGCTAAATGAACAAACAGAAGATCAAATTCAGGAGGAATACCATTTAAAAACAAAAGGACTGTTCTTTTTTGGCCACATCCACAATAAGCAACCTCCTACCATTTGTTGACTTTGTATAGTTTAAAGCTGATGATTTGAAAAGCCTTTGGACAGACAGACTTCGATCTTAGAGGCATCAGCCTCTGCCTATCAGAAGAGCCTCTGTAGAGGAGCCCAGAGACCTGCTCGTGAAGCCCTATCAGTCACTTTCTACATGGTGCACCTGCACCAGCTCTTAGATCTGACAGGCACACTGTACTCCTGGTAGTCACAAGCATAGAATTCTCCACTGCCACCTTCTCCAACAGAGACTGAACTAAGGATGGCTATGCCTACTTTTAGCATGGCCAGGAAGGCAGCTGAGCCACAGACCACAGAGCCAGAGTCAGCTTTTGAAAAGTAATCCTCTTTTCTGCTTTCTGCTTCTTTGATTCAGAGTAGCTTTACTGGGATATAATTTACATAATAAAACTACCCCCTTTAAAACATACCTTTCAATATCTTTAACATATTAAGAGCTGAACACTATCACCACATTTTCATTGCCTCAAAGGAATCCCATGATCATTAGCAGTTAACTCTCAATTCCTGTCTCCCCTCAACTCCTAGCAACCACCAACCTACTTCCTCACTCTGGGTGGGTCCATTCTGAACATTTCATATAAATAGAATCATATAATCTGCGATCATATGTGACTGACTTCTTCAATTAATGTATTATCTAGGTCAACTCATGTCCTATCATATATCAGCACTTTATTCCTTTTCGGTGAATAATAGGCCATCGTGTGGTTCCACAACATTTTGTTTATCCATTCATCACCTGAGGGACATTTAGGTTGCTTCTGCTTTCTGTGTATTTATGGATCAATGCTACAATGGACATTCTTGTACAAGTTTTTATCTGAGCACATTTTCATTTGTCTTAGTTGTATACCAAAGAGTTAAATTATTTAATCACATGGTAACCCAGGCTTAACATTCTGAAGAAACACCAAAACCATTTTCCAAAGTGACTGCACCATTTTATATTCATCCACATCTTTACCAATACAAAACCCTTATTGAGATCTGATCAAATCTGTGAATTAATCTCTACACACAGTCTATAGACATCTTCAAGGACAACTTGAGGTATAAAGAATCTGGGGCAGAGAGCATCACTGAAAGGCAGGAACTGTGTGGCTGGCACCAAGACCTCAGAGGGGACGTGTTTCAGGTCATCAGGTTCACGGCAATGAGTGTGGTAGGGCACATGTGCACAGAGGATGCTCAACTACAGTGGAGACACAGAGGGGCAGGTAAAGGCAGAGCCATGCCCCTGCTCTAAGCCCCTAAGTTCTTCTCTTCCTCAAGGCTGGATTACAGAAGCTTCTTAAAAAAGAGAACTTGCACTGACCCTTGACACAAGAAGGTCAGTAAAAGCAACAAGAGTATCCTGGAAAGAACAATTCAAATAAAAACAAGAGAATGAAACATTTCCTTGCACTGTGATGAAGGATGCAGATGTGCCAGCTGCCTCACAAAGCATCTCACGTTACCAGTGCACGTTATCTCAATAGAACTGAGAGAAGAAAAATCTGAGGCAAGAGAAGTTAGGGAACTTGTCCAAAGTTATTCAGATAGGAACTGTAGAGACAGAATTTAAAGCTTTGTTAGGATATCAGACACTCTCTATTCTGAACCAGAGGCCACAGATTTACCAGGTGTCATATCTTGGGAGCCTAAAAGCAGAAACAATAATGACTGAGGAGATGTGACTATTTAGAGAAAACTGAGGTACTTTATTAAACCATTTATGAAGACCACTATCTAATGCATGGTATTTCAACATTGAATGGACTGTCTGTTTATTCCACTACTGTTCAGCTGAGCTTTGAAGTAATAATCATTTACAACTCTCCAGAGAAAACAGGTTAAATGCAGGAGTCACTCTCAATACACAGCTACCCCGGCAGCACAGATAGCCTGGCCCATGTCACTCTCCACAAGTCACCAGCTTCAGCTCAGACAATCACCCAGACCAGAAGACGTGGTCAGTACCTGCTGGCAGTCTACTCCTAATAGAATGATTTTCAACATTCAGGATTTCTATCAAAGTATCAATTTTTTAAATATCTTTCTTTGGGTAGCACTAAAAGGGGGGCTGGAGGGCATAACTATAACAATCTCATTCTTAAACCCCTAAGTCAAAAAAAAAAAAAAAAAACTGTTTCAAGGTTAAGAACATGGCGGAGAAAAACAATCAAGGCAAACTTTCCCACTGAAAAGCAAGGTCAGCCACACCTGTGAATGTGTGACACCGAGACATCAACCACTAGCCACAGAAACACTGTCTCACACACTAAACCTTTGCCTGCAATTGTAAAGATCTCACCTGTCCTTTGCAATAGCAAACAGATCAACTTCATCATCATCATCCTCAAATAGGTTGGTCTTTTTCCCAGCCTTTGCTTCTTGGCCTTGGATGGTCCTTGAGTCCCATAGTTCTCCTTTGGACTTACTGTCAGGTGCTAACTTGGTATGTGAATCAGTAATATTCCACTGGTCCTTAAAACATAAAACATGCATTAAAAATCTATAGGACAATGCTGACAGAATGGCTAGGTGGGCAAAAGCACTTGCTACATAAGCCTGAGGACCTGAGTTCAAATCCCCAGTTCCCATGTAGCCATACATGACAGTATCCCCAGCACTGGGAGGTGGTGAGCAGAGCTGGGTGGGTTCCAGCCTAGTCAAACCACACAAGGACAAGAGCAAGCCCCATCGCCTCTACTCAACACACACATGGACGGACACACACACACACGTGCACGCAAGGTACTGGAGCATAGCTTAGTGGTAGAGCCATATTATCCAGTGGCTGATTTCGATAAGGAACATGACAATAAAGTAAGATCTGTCAAGATACTCCAAACCAGAATCAAGCACACTCGCAGGCCGGCCCCGTCCCTGACCCCGGCCAGGTTCTGGACCACACCCCTCTCTCACTCGTGCGTCCTGCACGTGTGTTCCAGTTTCTCTCTGCTAGGGCCGCCTTGTGGAAAGACAAATTAACCTGTCTATCTGAAAGAGTCGAAATTAATTACACAGGGGACAAACAAAGAGAAACATAAAAGTAAAAATACGGCCACGTTGGAAGGGGACATTTTAAGTAAAATCCTGAAGCAAAAAGGAAAGGAGGTCAGCAGGACAGGGAAGGGGGACAAGAGAAGGTAATGGGGTGTGATGCTCAAATACTGTGTGCACATATGAAAACTATAATTTATAAATAAAGGCTAATGGTTGAGAACTGTTCCTCTAAGCAACCATGTGCAGCAATGATTACAGAGCTTTAAAGAAAATTCTAGTCAGAAGGCCACATCTACAAGTAATACTCTTTAAAGTCCCCAGATGATCCCAGGGGGAGCCAAGCAGGGAGTGAACCCTGGTCCCTGTCATTCTGCTTTTCTTTTTGCTCACCAGCTTTGGCTAGGACTGTTCTTTTCCTGACACCACTACGGTGGGAAGATTTCCACAAGGCAACTGATTACAAACATGTGAAGAGAAAAGAATGAGGGCTGGGTAGGTGGCTGAGGGAGGGGAGATTAGAGCACTGCAGAATAAGTATGAGGACCTGAGTTCAAATCCCCAGCACCCACATAAAAAATACTGGCCACTGCCATGCATGGGCCAACTGGAGGGGATGGAGACATGAGGATTAACAGGGTCTGCCAACCACCAGCCTAGCTCTGGTTCAGTGAGAGACCGGCTCAAAGAACAAGAAGAGGGATAGAGCAGGACACCTGGTATCCGCCCCTGGCTTCTGGGAAGGCTCATCTGTACACATGTGCTCATCAACTACAAATATGTATTATACACACACACACACACACACACACACACACACACACACACACACAGACATGGGGGGCAGGGAGTCTATAATAAATATGCAAATTTGAGCAGAAAACATAAATTAAGTCATTTTAAGTTGCTGTCAATAAACACTATTATAGTTACAATTTGTCTGTAACCTGGTATCCTCCTAACGTCCCTCTAATGAAAGTGCAAAACATTACTAAATAGGAATATCTTCCTTTTTAACAGCTTAAATTTCTTTCTTTTGAGAAGGGGTCCCAGGTAGTCCAGGCTGGCCTTAAATCACTATGTGGCTGAGGATAATCTTGAACTACAGCTCCACCTCTCAAATACCAGGAATATAGACAGGACCTGGGAACTCAACACAGGCTTTCTAATATATCAGGTGGGCTGGCTAGTTTTGTGTCAACTTGATACAAGCTAGCATCATTTTTGAAGAAGGAACCTCAACTGAGAAAATACCCCCACCAGGTTGGCCTGTTGGGCATTTTCTTGGCATGGGAGGGCAGAGCTCACTGTAGGTAGTGCTACACTTTGGCTGGTGAACCAGGGTGTTATAAGAAAGCAGGCTGAGTAAGCCATGAGGAGCAAACTAGTACATGTACCCCTCCATGGCCTCTGCTTCAGTTCTTGCCTCCAAGTTCCTACTTTGAATTCCCTCAGTGATGGACTGTTGCATGGAACGTAAGCTAAAATAAGCCCCTTTCTCCCAACGTTGCTTTTGGTTATGGTGTTTGATCATAGCAATAGAAACCCTGAGTTAAGACACTAACCAAGCACTTTATCTCCTGGACTGAAACTCCAGTACTTTTCACAGCTTTTGATTTTGTATTATTCTTATTTTATTATTTTCCTACGCTGGACATAGACACAGGGTCTTGCTCATGTTGGATATGTATGGCACAATTAAGTTACATCCCAAGTGCCAGGAAGACCTTTCATACTCAGGGCACTAAATTTTATTACAGTGATTGCTTCTCATCCTTCTTAGATAAAATGTAAATCTAAATCTCATTTATATTTATGGTCTTCTGCTCAGGTAAATCTGAATAATGATTAAGCTACTATTGATTTTGCTGATCTATATCCAAATCACACTGTCCTACAGCAAAGGAGTTGAAATTTGGCAGGCCACTGCTAGTGTGTGTAGATGTGATTCTAGTTTAATGACACAAAGCAGTACTTAACAAGATAATACACAGTGGATGGGACACATTACCCTCCAAGTATGGCACCTTGGCAATGAAGAAAGCAGAGGCATCAAGTCTCTCTGACCGTCTCCCTGCCCCTTCCCCAACAGCAGAACAAAAAGGAATACCGCAAATCTCTCCTGTGAAGCAGGACCAAAGGTATCCCCCCTGTACTGGAGGAAAGGCAACCCCATTTCTGAAGACCCGGAAAACCTGGATGAGCAGACCTTTCCAAACCCCTCAGCTTACCACTGCAGACCAGACTCTTCAATCCTGTCATGCTTCTCCCTAGCTCTTGTTCTCTATCATACTTAGCAAAACACACTACAGGTTCCTTACCACCTAAAATGTACTTTAAATGAGAATGTTTTTTCCTTGTAATCTCTTGCTACAGAGCTTTAGCTATGAACCTTGTAGTGGAAGCCACATTAACTCCATTTTGAAAGTATTAATGTTTAACACATTACACAAATGTTTTTCTTCAAAAGACACAATCTTGTAAATAGCATCTTTTGGTGATCAAGCTTCAGTGAGTAGGGAACAGAAAGAGAACATGTTAGGACAGCTATACCTCTTTCTACATTCTCATAAAAACCTCCTGTGTGGGCAAGCTTTAACCTACCTCCTCATCACTGCTGAATAGCAAGGCAGATGCTTTCTTTTTGGGCTGCTCTGAAGGTTTTGGTTTCTCTTGACTGTGAGGTTGTAGAGAGGAAACCTGCTTCTTAGCTGGGGCACTCCCAAAAAGATTATCCTAAAAGGACAAATGACAGGAAAGTATACAAAGCTGTCACCAGTTCATATACAGGCACCCCGAGAAGGCATTCTCCCCAGAGGAACAGAGCATGACATGTCTGGGGAAAACAATCACAAAATACCTGCACATCTCAGTCTACAACCTCTTCGAATTACAACCCCTATCCACAGAAGGAAAACAAGATTATCACAGAATTCCCTTAGTTTTAAAAAAATTAATTATTATTGCGTGTGTGAATGTGTGCACAGGGTTATGTGAGTTGGAGGGCAGAGTATGTGTAAAAGTCAGAGGACAACTTTCAGGAGTTACCACAGGACCTGACCAGGGCCTGAGAGAGAGCAAAAGCAACAAAGGAAGGTCAAGATGGCAGAAGCACCAGGTGCCCTTCCCAGTCCACCTGTGGGCATGAGAGCCTTGGCACCAGCCAACAATTGCACATCTCTTTAGAAATTGGATTAATGGCTAAAAGGAGTTTTTACAGCTAAGAACGTTGGAGATAGAAGAAATTATTTATAAATAATTTATAAGAAAGAAGACAAAGGTATGGACCAGTTTACTAAATAAAATCCCTGCCATCCTAAGGACATTCAATGGTATTTATAAATCCTTACCCAGTCAAACACTCTAAAACTACTTCATATGAAGTGAGTGTGGTAGTGCGCGCCTGTGATCACTGGATTCATGAAGCCAAGGCATCAGGAGTATCAATTTGAAGCCAGTCTGGGCTACATGGTCAGTTAAACAACAGTCTGGACTATCTATGAGATCCTGCTACCATTCTCAGCCCCACCAGAAATGCTATTATATACCCACTCTCATTAAAGTAATTGAAGCAAACCATCAGCGGGCCCAAGTTTGGTAGATGATACAAAACTCTTTTTTTTTCCCCCCGAGAACAAGTATTTTAATTATACCTTACATATATTTTCATATCAGTTCAAACTTGCAAAATAAAGTTGTCAAGATATAAGAAATTCCTTCCTGTATACCTTTTACAGCTGTTTCATAGTTGTTATTATTTATTTTATTTTACAATATAATTTAATTCTACATATCAGCCACGGATTCCCTTGTTCTCTCCCCTCCCGCCCTCCGACCTTCCCCCCAGCCCACCCCCTATGCCAATCTCCTCCAGCCCAAAGACTCCCCCGAGGACTGAGATCAACCTGGTAGACTCAGTCCAAGCAGGTCCAGTCCCCTCCTCCCAGGCTGAGCCAAGTGTCCCTGCATAAGCCCCAGGTTTCAAACAGCCAATTAATGCACTGAGCACAGGACCTGGTCCCACTGCCTGGATGCCTCCCAAACAGATCAAGGACTAGGAGACCATGGTAAATGAAGACCACATGAGAATAGGAAGAAGCAAAGTGCTCGAGAGGCCCACAGAAATCCACAAAGGTGCCCCCACAATAGACTGCTGGCAATGGTCAAGAGAGAGACAGCCGGGACTGACCTACTCTGGTGATAGGATGGCCAAACCCCCTAATTGCCGTGCTAGAAACCCCATCCAATGACTGAGGGAACTGGATGCAGAGATCCACGGCCAGGCCCCGGGTGGAGCTCCAGGAGTCCAATTGGCAAGAAAGAGAAGGGTTTATATGAGCGAGAAGTGTTGAAACCAAGGTTGGATAAAGCAAAGGGACAAACAACCAAACAAATGGAAACACATGAACTATGAACTAAAGGCTGAGGGGCCCCCAACTGGATCAGGCCCTCTGAATAGGTGAGACAGTTGATTGGCTTGATAC